TATAATCGATCACTCGATCGGTTCCCAACTCTGTCAAGAGTTTGGCCTTTTCTGGCGATGATGTCAACCCAATAACATAAGCGCCCTTTCGTTTAGCCCATTGGACGCCTATATGACCCGTTCCTCCAGCGGAGGCTGTTATCAACACTTTGTCACCCTTTTGAATGCGACCCAACTTTTCGGGTTAATTATTGGTATATTAGTTACATGTCAGACACATCTGAAAGGTAATGCATACCTCATCCAATCCAATGGTTGCCGTTAAGCCCGACACTAATAATCCAAGAAATTCTGGTTTCAGACTCGGGACTGGTATCATGTCCTCCGGTTTGACATACTATTCATGAATACATAAAAATTACATTTATTATAATTTTGACACAGGTCCTCAAGTGTTTTATCTCAAATATAAATACAAACTGTATTATAAAGTGTTTAAACTTAAAACACAATATTCATGCAGTTTATAATTTATTCAGGCATAATCTAGTATTTGAATTGTGAGATATAATCCAAGAATGTCATATGTGCCTTTAAAACATACAACAGGGACAATTATTTTTTATGAGTAATATAAGATTAAGCTTTATTAAACCAAATACACCAAGTTTCATATAAATCTTAATATTATATTACTCATAGTAATAAATTATTACTATTAATTGTCGCTGTTTTATTTTATAAGATTACATATAATATGAAAATAGATGACTGATTTGTACTGGTACATCCAATAATTACTAACCAAATACTCTGCGTAAGCAAATTCTTTAGTATGGTTGGCACCAAATGCAATGACATACTGTCCCACTGTATGGGCGGTCACATTCTTGCCAACTGCCTCGATAACACCAAGAGCCTTTTATAATAATTATATGAGATTATAAGTTTGCGATAAAAACAATATACTGATCGCATGGACACCTACTTCTAGTCCCACATCGAAAGGCAACTCAGCGTTTGGGTTGAATAGGCCGGCAGTTGTGCCGACATCGGCGGCGTTCACACCGGCGTAGATATTCCTGATGAGCACCTGGTCATCGCCCGGTGCTACCAGTGGGACGGACACCACTTTAACAGCCTCGCGAAAATTTGGTGTTATTTTAAACACCGATAACTTTTTGAATGTTTTAGACATTTTGATAGCTATGTTAACGATAATAATAATTGAAAATTAATAATGATTAACAAACTTTTATCAAATACATCAAAATAAATTAAATTATAATCAAAATGTTTGAGTATTCATCAATGTTATACGCCTTTAACTGTCCCAATCATACAGGCAATAACATAATCAACAGGTTACTAATCTCCTCAAAAATCAATATAATATTTCACATACGATTATCATGTGAGCAAATATCATTTTATAAACATAATAGGATTTTAATAAGTTTTATGCATTCAATACAGTATTATAAAATAAATATTAAATTTCCGACGTGGATTGACAAAATGAAATGCAAAATAATTTTTGATCATTAATTTAGCATAATGCTCTTATTATATCATTCAGTAAATGTCAAAATTAATTAAAAAATAATAAAACTTTTTCTTAGAAATATGAATCCCAAAAATAACTAGCTAAAAATAGAATATAAATTAGATTAATATATTGATTTTTATTTCAAAACTATTTTTCTGTTTAATTCATAATATATACTAAACGTACAATATTAAACTTGCTGCTTATTAAATTAACATATAAAAAGTATATTAAATAAAACTTTAGCAATAATTTTTATTTTATGTATTATTAAATAAGTTTTATTAAATAATTAAAAACCTTATTAGTAAATCATTAGCAAATGTTAAAATAATTAAGTAATTTCTATTAACTTTAATAATCAACTGTTTTTCATGTAACATGCACAATATAATGTTAATGTAATAATTTATAAATTAATGTGACTATTAAATTTTGTATACCTACCGTATGTCTTACATTTATATAAAAAGTATAATATATTGAAAATGTTTGTGTATTTATTAATGTTATATGGCTTTAATTGTCCCAACCGTACACTCAATTACATAATCATCGGGTTCATAATCACCACAAATATCGGTATTACACTTCACATAATATAATCATTTGGACAAATATCTAGCTATTATGATATGTTTTTTAAAGTTGTATGTCTATTTTTATTTGTATCGGTATTCATATCATACATATACGTAAAGTTTAATTCACAAATTATTCTTGATAATAACGATCAGTTGACAGAATATTGTCATAAATATAATTTTAAAATTACAAATATTTTATATTACATGTACATTGTATTTCACATAATATTTTACTTAATTTGTTATTATATGCCCACGGGGAATGACCTAATTGACAACTTGATTAACATTAACAAATTCATAGACATTAAATTTCATCACCATTCACCAATTACCACTTTTTACATGGCTGGATGGATAAACATGATCATGTTAATATACCTGGAGTTATCAATAAAATATATTAACATATTACGGGCTATGTTGGATAAAATGAACATGCTAAGTAGGGAACATCGAGGCACGAATCTCGATTAAGTGGTTCTAATTGTTATGATTAGTTAGCCTATGGGGAGTAAAAGTATTCTAGTGAATGTGGATTTTTTTATAAATGCTTATTTTTGAAAATTCTAACTACCTGTATTTTAATATTTGATATATTTTATTACAGTAATCTTCAGTAAATTTTCCCACACTATGCTAATCATTAGTTTTTAACTCACTCTCTATAGGCTTTTCATATTTGAATGTTGTACAAGGAGTATAAGCCTGTTTAATAATATATATGTATAATAAATTGCAAGACTAACTTTTAAACTTTTACCTGGTTAGTAATTCATTGACAATCCTGTGAATACATGGTGAGTAATACTGTATTTCCAACATATTTTCAATTCATTACTAACCAGATAAAAGTTTCAAAACTAGTCTTGCAAATTGTTATACATATATATATTTGTTGAGTAATAATACTGTATTTAAAACATATTACGAATGTGAACTAAGGAGTTCTGAAATCTCGTTTATCTCTTCATCGGAAAGCTCCGGTACAATGACTACAAATTGATTTTGCAAACTCTGTTTGATGACCTCGCCGAAGTAGATGCTCATCTTGGCCCCGTAGGCGTATGTCTGAGGAAGCAACCCATTAGCCTCGTTTAGGTTCCAGGCAGACATGGCTGATGTGTGCGCAGCCGTCCATATATCGGTTGATGAAAATAACTTCATAAGTAAACCAATAACACCGTTCAAAACGGTGTATAGAAATTGAGCTACGCTCACACCCGCTCTCCACGCCCAACGTGCTATAATAGGTGCTCTGTCCAAAATTACGTTGAATATTTTTCGGATAATATTAATTATCCATTTGATACAATATACAATACCATCCCAAATTAAACCGATAACCTTGCCCACATTCTTAGCGGTATCATACAGCCATTTATCAAAATCATTAATTTCATTTTGGCTAATACTCAAAGTGATGAGTGGCTCTGCCATTACTGATATTGATACTTATTTTTAAAAATATACAATAAAGTTTCAATGAATATTAAGTTAAATTCTGCTAAAAGATTTCTGAGTATTTGCTGAATATAGATTTGCGGTTATATACTAAACAGATAAACAAACACCATGTCAAGATATTG